TTTTTCTTCTTTGTGTGTTAGGGAGGTTGTTTTTTTTTTTTTTTTTTTTTTTTTAACGCAGTGTCTAGAGATCGGTGCTGAAAACCGGGAATGCTGAGGGAGAGCAAGAGCAGAGGGTGAGGTGTAGATGATTGGAGGAGAGGCCCTGCGGTACTGCCTGCCCTAGTTGGGTGAGAGTCTGCTGGCAGCCTCCGATGCTGGGCACTTGCCCTGGTTGTTGGCCCATTAAACCAGCTGGTGAGGATGTGGTAGGGAGAGAGGTCGTGCATGGACAGGACAGCACTTTTGTGTGAGCGGCATGCCTGTTCCTGATGAGGTTGACTCAAGCTAGGCAAAGAAGGTGCAGGCAGGAGTTCTCCCTCCCCTCCTCTAGTTTATTCTTACAATTGGGGAACAGAAGCACAGAGATCAAAGGGCAATTTTTTTTTTTGTTTTAAAGTATTCAGGCTAAGAATGGGGCTTTAACACAAGCCAGACACCTACAAGGTGCCTGTTAGGTATCATTGAAATCCTTGTAGAGATACGTAGAGGTCTTATTCCTGGGGTCGTCATTAAGTTTGTAGCAAAGCTACAACTGATGCCATGTTGGATTTGATAACCCTGGGTACATTTCCTCCTTCAGTGTAAGTAAGTGTCTCAAAAGCATGGTAAATGGTGCAACCCCACACACTTCATTGTGTGCAGTGAGGCTCGATGTGCATGTGGTTGGATAATAACCATAGAATTGTTTAGGTTGGAAAGGACCTTTAAGATCATTGAGTCCAACCATAAACCTAGCGTGGCCAAGTCCACCACTAAACCCTGTCCCTAAGCACCATGTCTACACGTCTTTTAAATGCCACCAGGGATGGTGACTCCATCATTTCCCTGGGCAGCCTGTGCCAATGCATATCCAATCTAAACCTTCCCTGGCACAACTCGAGGCCATTTCCTCTTGTCCTATTGCGCGTTACTGGGGAGAAGAGCCCGACCCCTGCCTCGCTACCCCCTCCTTTCAGGTTGTTGTAGAGAGTGATCAGGTCTCCCCTCAGCCTCCTCTTCTCCAGGCTAAACCCCCCCAGCTCCCTCAGCCGCTCCCCATCAGACTTGTGCTCCAGACCCTTCACCACCTCCGTTGCCCTTCTCTGGACTCGCTCCAGCACCTCAAGGTCTTTCTTGTCGTGAGGGGCCCAGAACTGAACACAGCACTCGAGGTGTGGCCTCACCAGTGCCCAGTACAGGGGGACGATCACTGCTCTGGTCCTGCTGGGACCATTTCTGATACAAGCCAGGATGCCGTTGGCCTTCTTGGCCACCTGGGCACACTGCTGGCTTACGTTCAGCCGGCCGTCGACCAACACCTCCAGGTCTTTCTCCACCAGGCAGCTTTCCAGCCACTCGTCCCCAAGCCTGTAGTGCTGCACGGGGTTGTTGTGACCCAAGTGCAGGACCTGACACTTGGCCTTGTTGAACTTCGTACAGTTGGCCTCGGCCCATCGATCCGGCCTGTCCAGGTCCTGCTGTAGAGCCTTCCATGGCTCCGGTAAGAATTTCTTCATTCCCCGAGGTCAGCTTTAAGTTGCATCCACTGGTAAATGGCAAGCACCTCAATCAGAACAAACTGGACCCTTCGCACGCTGGTTCCTTCCCTCTGTAGGAGTGCCGCTGGCCTGAAGGTAGGGAGGGGACACCTACAGCTGGGGTGAGAGTGAGCTGTTGCATGGGACTAGAGTGGTAAGGGAAGGGCCAAGTTCCATCTGAACAAAGCAGATTTGGAATTGGAGCACAACGTTTCCAGGCCTTGACATCAGTTAAGATGTCTCTTTTATTTCAGTGCAACTTAGTAATTTTTTTTTTTTTCTGTTTTCTTCCTGTCCTTCAGCTCTTGGGGAGACTTTTTACTGGATGTAATTCCTGGCCTTGTGTTTGATACAGCAAAAGAAGATGTGGCGCTGCGGACAAGCATACCAAGGCAACTGCTTATGGTAAGTAGTTGGGACTGAGGTAATAATAGTGCATCCAACTGAAACTTCAGCACTGAGGCAAGCATGTCTCTTGTTGATCTGTTCCGAAAGCTCTATGCAATGGCGCTACCTTGTCTAGCACACAACCGCTTCTTTTGAAGTCTTCAGGATGCTCTGTTCTGAGGTTTGCTCCACCTGAAGCGTTGCCTAATTCATTGCACTGCCTTTCTTTTGTATCGCAGTGTCCTTGTCTGGCTTGGTTCCTTCTAAAAGTAGTGGTATTTGCTTTGGAGCTGTCAGACAGGCATAGTTCCTGTCAGGCCAAGCTTTTGAATCTTTAAAAGTTAGCAAAGCTGTAAATTGTTCAGTGATGTCTTTATGGTAGTCCAGGTGTGCTGCTGATCAGCCCATCGGCACGCAGAAGGAACAAGCGTCTCTTGCAACTACCCTTGCAAGTCCTTGCGCATTGCGGGTAGCCCCAGAGTGAGGGAAAGTGAGCTTTGGTGTGTGAACAGCTCGTGGGGAATGCGCAAAAGAAAGAAAAAGTTTGTTGTTTTGGGAGAAAAACATTACCCTTTGCAAAGGTAAAAGGAGTGTCCAGATTTTCGCTGCATTACTGCACCTCTTGCTCTTTAGGCTAGGCTGTTTAGCTTCAATTCATGTGAGAGCAACTCTGTGTGAATATTTAGCAGGTGGATATAGCTGACTCGACAAAAAAACTGAGTAGCCTTTTGAGAAGACTTGCAGACCGTCTGGAAAACACCAGAGAACTGAGATCATCTGACATGAAGAAGGACTTTATTATGAACCGGTTGCCACCTTGCTTGGGATGTGACTCTGATCCTTTGACTCCAGGTAGATTTTTGACGTTACCAAAACTGGCTGATGCGATGGCAGAGCTGTTGCTAATTTAGGACTTTGATATTTTATTGTAGGCGAAAATTACAGTCTAACATCAGCTTCAGGTTGTGCATTTGCACACCTCAGTCAGTTAATTCCCTGTGTGTAGCGGAAGAGATGACGTCTCGGAGTGAAATAAAAGTTATCCTAGACTGAAATTGGCAGCTTTAATAAACCACTGTGTACTGAGAGTGTTTAACTGGTAGAATTTGTCCTTATGCTCTAGTTTGCTCTTATTACAGCTATTTGTAGACTGTAAAGGTGAGAGAATTAAAAAAAGAAAACCAACCTCTCCCCTGCCCCCCCAAGTTTGAGAACACGTGGGTGTTGAAAGGAAGGTTAACAAAAAATCTAGCCAGAAGCGAGTGGGTCACGCACGGAGGGCTCAATTTGCACCGTTTGTCCGGTTTCCTTCCTTTTTAACGGACAACTTGTTTTTCTTAGGTGGGAAATTGCCAAAAATAGATAGCAAAATCAGACTGCAGTTTCGAGATCATGCTATCATTACAGTGGAACCAGATCAAGAGCATTCTGTAAGTATAACGAAGCCACCTTCGTATGCTTGGGGTGGGGAATGTGAGGTACGTGAGCTGTTGCTCTGATCTCAAAGGGTGGTTGGGGTTTGTTGGGAGCTGCTGGTGTTGTCGTCGAGCAGTAGTAAATCCAACGCGTCCTTACCTTCTGGAGGAGAGCTACAGAACTAGAGCCGGTCTGTGAGTCTGTACGGTAGGTGACTGGCTTTTAGCTGAGGTTAGATGAGCTAGATCAGCACAGCTGCTCCATGGCCTCTATAGCTCTTGACAATTTATTCTTTGTATTTAAAAGCATGAATAAATTATTAAAATAGGTTTCCTCAAGAGAGAGAATTCTCTTGGTTGCTGCTGCTGACTGTGGTTGCATTTAGTCTTCACTTCCAAGTTACCTTTGTCCCAACATGAGTGCTAGCGGCACTGCTAAGTTGTTCTGCAGAATAGATGCTGGCATCTTGGATTATGTTGTGTTCAGACTACTTCTTAGCAACAAAGGTTTGTTCTGCTGTGCTAATTAAAGAGAAAAAAAAAAAAGGGGGTGGGACGGACAATCTTGTACAATTTTTTTTTGCACACGTAAAATGGTCCCCTCCAAGAAAAGAATACCCTGTCTGATTTTTCGCCTCCATTTTATTTGGGTCCATACTGCTGTGAGACTGTAGGTTTTGGAAGCTTTTTTTGTTTTTGTAATTGCTGCCTCGCCTTCTGAGGTCACACAGGTAAACCCTGAATGACAGCACACATGCAAGACTTGTGTCCACAAATTCAAGTGTGAGCCCTGCCCGCAGAGCTCTGAGTTGGTTTGCACGGCTTTGAGCAAGGAATGCTAACAACAGGCCCATGAGGGTTTTTTTTTTTAAGAGACAGATCAGTACGAGAATGGAAATTTATTGATGCACGTTTGTTCATGAAGACCTTCTAGGAGGTGCACCTTAAATGGCATGTTTTCTATACAGCATCAGTCCTGTGAGGCCAGTATTAAGGCAGAGGATTATAGGTTGTAAATAAATTTTCAGAGGTGTTTTGGAGACTCCCGTAGTGCTGTAGTAGATGGCTGTTGGATCATTCAGTTCGGAAGGTGAATTGCCCTCACTGATGTAACGATGGACTCCAGAATTCAGGAGCTAACATTGTCACGCGAGTGAGAGGAATTTGAGGCTGTGGCTCGTAGCTAACTGTTTTCTTCCTCCTGTCTTTTAGGATGAAATTCGCAGAGAAATGGTTTACGTGTATCATTCTTTGAAGAACAGGCGAGACACTCACATGATGGGGACAGAAGAGGATCCTACTAGTGAGGAGGGCACATCGCAGGTTTGTTCCCACAAACACACACCAAAAGCCCCAGTGCCACGTTGGGTTTTGCTGCTTTAGATGATGAGCTCGACTGGGATGTTAGTGGGGGCCTGGGTCCTGCTGTACTCCTCAGCGCCCAAAGCATTTCTGCCCATCCCCACAGTACCTGGCACTGTGCTGAGGCCATCGATAGTGGAACTAAAAGGAATGTAATCTCAGGCATAATTAAATGTTAACAGGATTTCTTGCCCATGCCTTATGTCCGAGCTAGCAAAGCTGCCGGAGGGGCTAGAAGGCTCTTGCGCCCGTGTCCTTCAGCAAGGCTGCGGGATATGCTCACATGCGCTCAGTAGTGGCAGAGATCGCTGTGCCTTCTGCGCCAGATTTATGCCACACCGAACCCATGCTGGATTCTGTATCTGCTGGAACATAGACCGCAGGATGAGGGCAGTCGTTTTGGCGGGGGAGTGTGTGTGTGTGTGTGTGTGTCAGCGTTGGGAGTAAAGCGCACTCCCTTTTCCTTACTGAAACGTAAGGAGGGAACTTTTATATTGTTAATAAGGCTGCAGATGGTTCATCTCCATTCTTACTCAGCGTGTACAATGGGCTTTTGCTCAAGTTATAAACATTCCTGAAGAGTGGAACTTTTTGTTCCACTTTATGGTAGTACGAGGCTCTGTCTGAGGGCTGTGACCTGAAACACTTGAAGACAACTCTGCACAAATAGGCCATAGAGGCCAACCAGCCTACAGCCTGATCTTGTCTCAGTAATTACAGCAAGGCTTTTTTTTTTTGCCTGACAGTTACTTACCTTTTAAGGTAAATCTCATTGGTGCTCTAGAGTCGGGAATACAGGTAGGTGAGGTTGTACAGTGTGCGCAAAGCTCAAAATCCATACCTTCCTGCCCTGAAAGACTCCAGCCGTGGTACTGGAGGTCCTCTGTCGGGCTGTCAGACTATAACCAAAGACCGCATGTGGCCGATGATAGAAAGTAAGTTCTATGGCCCTCCAAAAATAATGGCTAGAGTTAGGCAAGAGTGTAAATTTAAAGTTGTTTATTTCATTAATTAGTGTGGAAACCAGATGAGGAAGTCACGCACCCTAAGCCTCCCTACCTCATAAGGTGTGCTAGAACACGCAAGAGATTCCAGCTATTTTTCTGTTAAAAGACAGGTGGCAGGATAAGACGGCATCTTTTGGAGGATGCTCTTGGAAATACCAGCAGATAAAAGGAGCACATATATATATATATATATATGTATATACACTTGCTGATCAGTACCTGGAGCCTAATACACAGTCGTGTAATAAAGTGGGGTTTGTGTGCGTGGGTGGTGTTTGGTTTTTTGTTCGTTTTTTTTTTCCTAATTTCCTCCTCCCCCAGCAGACTCATGGCCTGCGGTTTCCTTTGTCCTACTTGGATGCACTGAAGCAGATTTGGAGTAGCAGCACTGTTGCTGTTAAAGAGCTTAACCTTAGCTCAGACGAAGAGAAAGAAAACCTCGCCTTGTCACTATGGACTGAATGTCTAATTGAAGTTCTTTGATGCTTTTGTGAATTAGCTGCTCCTGTAAGTAGTATTTCTGGCTGTTAAGAATCTCTTAAGAGAAAAAGGCTTATTAAATTACTTTTTTATGCATCTAGCCTTTGGTTTGTAGTGCTGGCCAACAAAGCATTGCAATACGTATGACTTGGCTACTTTCTGGTGCCAAATGTTACTTTTCTTTCCCTAGCTTTGGGAAAATGGGGATCAGGGAAAACCAGGTAAGACGGGTCGTTGTCCATGAGCCTCAGCTCCATGTCTGTGGCTGGATGAAGTCGCCGAGTGGAACACGCGTGCTGTGGTATCCCCTTTCCTCCGGCTATGTGCCTTGATGGTTGAGAACAGCTAAAGGTAGACATGGAGCAGGCTCCAGGACCTTTGTTTGTCATTTGTAGAGTTAACCAGCAAGAAAACCCATTTGTTTGTTCTGTTTGTTTGCTCTGAGAGAACAAAAGCTTTTCTATAAAAGCCGTGTCTGTAAGACTTGGCCCAAGAAAAAACCCCTTTTTCCTCTCAGATGCTGCCACCACTGGAATAAACAAACAATATTTAACCTCTCCTTCCCCCAGCACCAATTTAATGTGAAAGTAACCCAAACCTGCAACTGGAATCTGGATCTTCAATGCCGACTTGAGTGGGTTTTGATGGGAGCAGTGCTGTTATTTTACTACGTGACTATCAGTGTTTAATATGCAACAGCACAGTCAGATATTTAATATACCGATCCCTTTTTTGTCCATTGGAAAAGAAATATTTTACAGGAATGTGCTTGACATCTGCTAAAAACTAGTGTTGTACTTAGTTTGTTTAAAAAGAAACCAACAAGCAGAATGTTCCTCCTAGAAAAAAGTTTTTATACAATTAAAATATACATGGCTTAGCATTTTACATTCAAGGTCTCTTGCGTACAAAAGCCCGCTTTACTTTGTTATGTAACACTGGCAGTCGTTCTTGGTTTAAAAGACTCAAACTTTTTACACAGGCTTTTAAAATGTCATGTAGAACGCTCGATATACCGACTTACATAAAAAAAGCTAAACAAGTGCTTTATTTGGAAAAATATATACATACATTTGAAGATCTGTTACTTAAATAGCAGATTTAGGATAATTTTAGAAGGTAAAATAGTAAGTGCAAGAGGAGATAGTCGTGGGGGTTTTTTTAAATAGTACTATATAGAACTCCATTTCGTACAAAAATAGACATCCATATATTTTTCTGTGGCAAACTTAGGGTTATGTGTTTTTATTTGTTTGGGGATGAATCCCATTTGAACGCACAACTGGAATAGTTACAGCTTTTGGAAACTAAAACATCTGTCTTTTTAGCTAACCTAAAACTCTTTAAATAGTTATAGAAATACATGCCCTGAATATACAAATAAGGAAAAAAAAAATTACATTTCCAATTAAGTAGATGGATGTAGTGATGCTGAAATCAAATGAAGTTACCAGTGATGTCAAGGTTGGTGTGTTTTGTTTTTTTTTTTCCATGTCAGTCCTACAACTGCCTGCAGTTCTGTAGGCCGGTTGCGTAGTCCTGAAATAGAGGAAAGCACCGGCACGGCAAGGTCTGGACCCGTTAGTCTTAGTCTAGCCTTAGTCCTAAGACCCCTTAGTCCTTTGGGCTAAGATGCACACGTTGTTGATGAGCCACAGTAACGTTAAGACGTTGTTACACTGTTCTTTGAACACTGAGCAAGCGTTGAAGTGCAGGCTGCTAGCACCTTTGAAAAATACATACAGAGGTGAATTATTTCTCTGAAGGAAGACATGGTTTCAAGACCAAATTACGCTGTATTAAATTAACCTATAGACGTCGCAACAAAATACAGCTAGAGTTAAAATCGTGAGTGCTGTAACTGCAGCTAGCCCTTGTAGAAGTCTAGCCTGACCCAGGACCGTTTATTCTCTTTTGAGACGTACAGCGATGGCTCCACCTTAAAGGAGATCCGCAGTGATAACTCACCATTTCATGGGTTGGAAACAGGCCGTGGGTCAGCAAAACCAGTTCCTGAATCTGGGAATTTGGTACTGTTAAAAGAAATGAAGACAAAGGCCTACAAGTAACATCAAGGGGGTGAAAGTCCGGCTTTCTCTATTGCTTTGTTTCACATGCTGAGCTGGTAATTAATTCCCCTTCAAAGCTGTCTTTCTGAACAAAATAAATTGCATTTTAGCAAGAGAGATGATTTGAGCTTCAGCAGCGCTTAGAGCCTAAATAGTTTCACTTGAGACAGAAAAAGTCCAGCTCGACCTCTTCCAGGCTCATCAGTGCATTCATTCTTCAGCAAGCTTCCATCCGTTTGAGAGGAAGGTAAAGACGACGTTTCTAAAGAGCCTTTCCCCTGTTATCCCTCGCAGTTCCTGTCCTGCAAGACTTCTGCCTAATCTTTTGCATTTTATTTTTACTACTTCAGATGAAGAGTAGGAGTGACTTGCATAGGGGTGGCCTCTAAAGAATCAGCTTCGTGCAAAATTCAGTTGGTTTAGGAGCTGGTGCTTCGTATGAAGGAAAGTAGAGAGGAGTTGCTGCTTAAGGTTCCAGTGGTGTGTGACTTCAGTAGTTTATTTTTTTTTCTTTCCCCCTCTAGGTGTTAATAACCCACCCATGTCGTGGGTTTTACTCACAATATTTCAATATCCCATTTTTGTGAATGTTTGTCATCTCTCAGCTGATTCATAATGATGTGGTTCTTGTCATAATAATTTCCTCCTTCAAAACAAAACAAAACAAAAGCATGAGGGAAAATTTTATAAAGAAATGCTCAGAAAAGTCTATGCATAACCCGTAAGAAGTATGACTAAGAAAATCAGCTGAAAAATAGAAATTCCATATATCTGCCCCTCCGCCTCTGTCTGTGTGTGTCTCCTTCCAAGGGTCACTTGTGAGCTGAGGCCGTGAGGAGCTCCCCCAGTGCCGAAGCAGAGCACACCACAACCCCGCGTCCGCACAGGTACCTTTGTGCCCAGAAACAGCACCTCTGCGGAGATTCTGCTTCTGGCAGGCAGCGAGCGCCCGCTACGTGTCTGCATTTTTAAGGTGCATATTGTTCTACTAGAAATACGCAGATTCACCTGAGATTATTTGATGTAGCATATCCATTTTAACCACAAACGTAGGAAGTAAAATTTCCTCTTTTGGGTACACGTAGCACAGCAATGACAGTGCATTTTTTATCATTATACCATAAATAAAAATCCACTGAAAGAAACAAGTGTTCTAAAGAGTTATCAAGTGCTATCCCACCACGCCAGCCTTCAACGTTATATTTTTGCAGTAACCGGGGCAGCACAGCTCTCTGATACTGGAAGAGTTGCCACCAGTGGCATTTAATGGCTTTGTAGTAACGATTTATGAATTAGTAACAGTGGTTAAAGTCAGTTCTGGCAGCCAGGAATGCTCTCTTAAGTTCACCATCACTGAAAATTCATTCTCAGTAAGTTTGAGCTGCAGAGGTCAGATGTGTAACGGCCAGTGGGACATGCAGTGGAAAGGTTGATGACTTCACTTGGGGGACATGCCCTTACCCTGGTCTGTAAGCCCTGCAGGGGCGTTAGGCCATCAAGTAATGTACGCAGGCCTTTTGTCTGAGAAAACAGCACCAGAGCCCCCAACCTCATAACCAGTCACTGTCCCGCTACCTCTCCCTAGGGATAAAACCCTAGCGCTCACAGCAGGGCTGGAACAAATTGTGAGGAACAGGCATTCCCCAGTGAGGTTGTTCTACCATGGTGGGTAATTAGAAGGACTGGGACCACCCCCCCCTGCAGTACAGCCTTCAGCTCTGGCGTCCTCGGCACAGGAAGGTCATGGACCTGTTGGAGCGAGTCCAGAGGAGGCCACGGAGATGATCCGAGGGCTGGAGCACCTCTGCTGTGAGGACAGGCTGAGAGAGTTGGCATTGTTCAGCCTGGAGAAGAGAAGGCTCCGAGGAGACCTTGGGAAAGCTGGGGAGGGACTTTTGACAAGGGCATGGAGTGACAGGACAAGGGGCAATGGCTTTAACCTGGAAGAGGGAAGACTTAGAGTACATATTAGGCAGAAATTCTTCCTGGTGAGGGTGGTGAGGCAGTGGCAGAGGTTGCCCAGAGAAGCTGTGGCTGCCCCATCCCTGGAAGTGTTCAAGGCCAGGTTGGATGGGGCTGTGAGCCACCTGGTCTGGTGGGAGGTGTCCCTGCCCGTGGGGTCTTTAAGGTCCCTTCCAACCCAAACCATCTGGATTGAGCAATGACAATTTTAACCAGCCTGAAAACATGAGGGGTGAGCACTTTTCTCTTTTTGAGCCACAACTATTCCATGGTTGCTTTCCCTTCACCATTTTGTCTTCTGTAACTGGCATTTCTTGCCATCAGCGCTGCTGAACTCCCTCAAGTAGAACAGTTGATCTGATCCAAATAAACCTCTGGATCAAAAGAGTCCAGTTTCCCCCTGCCCTGTTGTTTCTTGTCCCACTGTCAAGCAACTGGACATAAACCCAACGGGAAAGATAGGATTCAGTATTTAACCTTAAGTACAAAAAGAGCTAGAATACAGCAATTAAGCTTAATCAAAAAATGCACTTAGCACATGTGAGGTTTAGGTTTTTTTAAATACCTTTAATATCAAGCACCAGTTGTTCACTGAGGTATGAACTGATGGTTCCATCCTTGTTGAGTCTCCACCTCTGCCTGTCCTTCCTGTGTTCTGTCCAGAGCGTGACTTTGGCCCCAGGCACATCTCTGCCACCAATGACATCCAGACAGGCGTTGTTAGCCTAAGAAACAAGAAGCAAAGTGAGATCCAGGCCCCAAAGCCTCTGTTCTGTGTCCGACTTGTTTCTGTTTCGGGCACCGAGCGCACTGCAGTAATTGTGCTGCGGGGGGTAACAGGCCTGGCAAGCAAGCTAGGAGCAGACTGTTCAGCAACGGACCAGCTGCTTGATCAAAGGTGGCGGTCTTTGGTACTTCAGGCGTTTCTTATATTAAATCACCAGCTTTTTATATTAATAACAGACTAACAAGGGTAGCATTAATACAAAATCACTTAACTTTCTTCGCATAGTACTTTTCAGAGAAATTCTTAACTCTAAAGAGGGAATAAACTTAAACTTGTGACT